TAAAAGAACTGCTACCGCTTCTACTATCGGAGCTCCACACGGAAGGTGGCTTTTATAAGCACAAGGCCAAAAGCCCTAGTACACGTGACGTGACTGATGTGTTGGAGGTACTAACCAAAGTTCTGACTGCCTTTCCAAACTGCTTATGATATTGCAGCAGCAGCAGTGGAAGCCGGCAGTTAAGGCTTGCGACGATGACTAGTGGCTACGGTGTCGTTAATTATTAAGCTATCTCAGTGACAAGGTGCCGGCCTGATACATGGATGAGAATATTTTCATCGGACCAACTGAAAATAACATGCCGGCACTCGCGAGCAGTCGTAGTCACTCTTATTTTCAAAACTAAAACCCCGTATGACCGGCCGGCACTCGCGAGCAGCCTAGAGACGTGTTCATAATTTAGGGCATGTTCTGAACCTCTCCCGCTTCTAACTCCAGTAACTTCACGAAATCAATTATACTCTCATGCTTAATTTTATACATTTTAGAGAGTTAAATAGGAATCGGTAATTTGCATGAGCTATATGTTCAGTCTAAAACAGATAGGTATACAAGAATGGTATAATAAAAACTTTCATCTAGATCACTGCATAAGAAGTGTATGATCAACGGTATTGATGTCGTAATATGAAAGAGTATTAGTTCGTAATCATTGGTTTGTAAAAATATCAATATTAAAGTGTTTTATGTACTACTCATTTAGTGTTTGTCATGGCATGACCAGGATGTTGCAACATATTTATTCCTTGTTGAAGTCCTTTGTGTTGTTTGAATCAGGAGCGTGTGACGCTTAACTCCTCCCAGCCTCCTTCCTAGGAGCATGCAAGTAGCACTTTGCTCCGAGTGCTAATAGGCTTCATAATAAGTATATGCTTTCTTTATGACTAATGTGAGTACATGGACTTTACAGCACTCCGACCCACCTATCCATATTTCGCTAGACTCTTCAGTACAATGTGTTGCCCGTTCTCACCTCGAGGACTTGGGGCAAACTTCGTCGGTGCATCCAAATCCTGTGATATGACACGCTCTATCAAACATGAGCCTCATGATATCCTTAATCAAAACATCCATCATACCTACCTATAAAGGCATTCCATAGCCATTTCCAAGAAATATTTATCGGTAATACCCGGTATTGCCCGATAAACTACGAAACCCTTCCGGTGACCCCGGAACGCTTCCGGATCCTTTCAAAATTATTTAGAATATTAATCAAACAATTCCACAAATATATTCTCATCATTCCTATCCTACTAACACTCAGCAGATTGTGATTACCTTAAACTTGTGACCATGTAAGTTCGGTAACACATAGACACGAACAAAACCCTTTCGTTCAATGACCGATAGCGGAACCGTGGATGTCCATATTGATCCCTATGAGTACACGAATGTTATTCAAGTGAAGTTTTGGTTAGAAGGTGATATTCCATTTGATTCACGATACTTTACAAAACCCAAGATGCATCAGTATCCTCTTGAGTCATGCACGTGCTCACTATACTATTATCCTCATCACTGGTTTTGTCCTTCGTTCTCGTTGACGTGTTTAGGCATCCCCATGACATAGTCACCTTTGTCTAGCCAGACGATGAAGGATGTCATCACACTGAGAGGTCCCTAAGAATATCTCTTCATCGTCGGAGGAGAAATTCCACTCTCAAGCTATCTAGTCCATTGTCAAAATTTCCGATGAACTTGTAAGTTGTCGTTATGATCACCTTGTTACAGATGACGTTTGAGCAACCCCAAAGATCATCGCACGGTTAGAGGTCACTACGATACTCTCATGGTCTAACGAACATAAAACACATGTTAACACTTCGTGTTATAACAATTGATTTCAAACGATATTACCTTAAAGTATAACAAACAAGTTTGGGTCAATCCGAAATGATCGTTCTTCTAACATCATACTCTCAATGTTGTTTTAGGACTATGGTTACAGTTAACGATACCTAGGATCCGGAAAACCTGATCATCAACAACACTTGAGCCAGTCTTAAATGCAAGACCAGGAACCTTATTTTACTGTTTATCATTCTGCACGTGCATAAGAGTTTTTCACTGAATCATATATTTCAAAATTATAGCAGTTATAGCATAGAATATAAACTCCTAATTTGAATATGGAAATTTATAATAAAATATTATTTCCTCTAGGGGATTATTTCCAACAATCCCTGGATATGCATACAGGTTGTTGCGCTAGATTACATCTTGAGAAGGAAGAAATATCTAAGGGAAAGATAGAGACCATGTAGTTACAACTAGAGAATCATAACTATATCCCTTGCTAACCTCCTGCCGAAGACAACCTTGCTAACGTGACGTCCAGGATAACAGTATGTTGTTTAACACCCTCCCTTCATCACAACTTGGTCAAGTTGTGATTACGCTTGAATTCCTCAAATTTCCATGTGGGCAATGCTTTTGTGAAGCCTTCTGCAACCCGGTCCTTGGAGTGAATGAAGCGAATTTTCAACTTCTTGGAAGCAACTCTTTCTCTTAAAAAATGAAAATCTATTTCAATGTGTCTAATTCTTGCATGAAAAACTGGTTTAGCAGAGAGATATGTGGCACCAAGATTATCACACCACAAGCAGAGTGCTTGTTTAGAGTGTCTCTCAAGTTCCTTCAACATAGACTAAACCCAAATAATTTATGTTGTGGCATTTGCTAGTGCCTTGTACTCTTCCTCTGTACTTGACCGTGATATAGTTGCATGTTTATTTGCACACCACGAAATCAGATTTGGTCCAAAGAGCACTGCATAACCACCTTTTGATCTTCTATCATCAAGACAACCTACATAGTCCGAGTCAGAAAAGGCATTTACAAGGGTGGATGATGATTTGTTAAAGGTTAAACCAACATTCACAGTATCTTTCACATATCTGACTCTGCACTTGGCAACTGTCCAATGAGCAGTAGTAGGTGTGTGAAGAAATTGACATAGTTATTTACAAAAGCAAGAAATATCAGGCCTAGTCAGAGTCAAATATTTTAGGGCACAAACAATACTTCTGTAGTTGGTGCTATACTATTGATGACGCAATGGAGTTGGTGATGACTTACAACCTTATTGTCCAGCTCTAGCTACAAGTTCAGTTGCTTATTTTTCTTGAGAGGGACGAAGATCATACCATTTCTTTTCACTTTTATGCCAAGGAAGAAGTTGAAGTCTCCTATGTCCTTGAGACCAAATTCTACATTCAGATCCTTTATCAAGCTTGTTACTGCCTCATTGGATGAACTTGTGACAATAATATCATCATCATATATAATAACAAGTTTCTTCAACGTAGTAAAATGGACATTTTTTATTTAGAAACGTTGGGCGTAGATGACGTCTTACAGGGCTTGGGGTACGTGTAATATAAGTTTGTGGTCTTGTTTATAAAAATGGAGGGAGGGAGTATCACTCTTGTGATCTTGTCTAACCTAAGACGTGTGAGTAGTTATCTGTTCGTTTCAGCGTACTTTAGACGCTGTTGCGCTTGCTAGCTGCAAAAGTACCATGCGAGTGTGTTGCACTGAGTGTTGACGGCCGGTTTTGCTCGCGGCCAGAGCCTGACATTTGTTGCCAGGTGAACCTCGTACAATTATCCACAGGAACCACTTGGGGCCAAAAATGAGGATTATATAAAGGAACCTCATATGATCGGGTAAACATGAATGTCGCACGAATGCGAAGTTTCCATAGATCTAAGTGATCTGATGTAGCCAGGCCTTTAAAAGAACTGCTACCGCTTCTACTATCGGAGCTCCACACGGAAGGTGGCTTTTATAAGCACAAGGCCAAAAGCCCTAGTACACGTGACGTGACTGATGTGTTGGAGGTACTAACCAAAGTTCTGACTGCCTTTCCAAACTGCTTATGATATTGCAGCAGCAGCAGTGGAAGCCGGCAGTTAAGGCTTGCGACGATGACTAGTGGCTACGGTGTCGTTAATTATTAAGCTATCTCAGTGACAAGGTGCCGGCCTGATACATGGATGAGAATATTTTCATCGGACCAACTGAAAATAACATGCCGGCACTCGCGAGCAGTCGTAGTCACTCTTATTTTCAAAACTAAAATCCCGTATCACCGGCCGGCACTCGCGAGCAGCCTAGCTTGTACTCTATCTTTCTTGGGCGTGGAATCTGCACACATAAGCGCACTCACAGACTCAGTAGTCTCTGGTATATAAAGCAAGTTTTTTGTTTTTGTTTTTTGAGGATGTATATAAAGCAAGCTTATAGTGACAAAGGTTGGCGAAACAATGGCCTTCCAGCTCAACCAGCTCGTCCCATGTCTTTGCATCATCATCCTCCTATCGATCATCTCCTTCTCACACGCCAAGGTGAAGGAGATGCCGTGCATTGTCCGCGACTCCGACGAGGACCAGGGGAGGAACTACACCCTGGACGACCCCGATCTTGTATTCCTGGTCGACAAGGACTCCGGGTTCGCACAAATGCACCTCTACAACCTATCCTACGCCGCCCTGAACAACACAGTGTTGTCCACCATGGATCGCTTGATAGAACTCTATCAAAAGCGTCCCGACGGGTTGGGGGTCGACGAGGCGTCCTTCAGTGTCACCATCGTCGTGCGGAACCAGACGACATCGGCTGCAAGCAATCACCTCGCCTTCCTTATCCTCCCTGCGGAGACCCTTGATTTTCTTCAGGTAAACGACTCCTTGCCCTTGGCAAAGGAACTGGTGTTCGATACCATTTTCTACCCGCAAGCCAACCGCTCCGGTTTTGCCAACACTACATACCGGAGCGGCTCCGTCTACGGAGTCGACATGTACGTCGACATGACCATCGGAATGCTGGCTAGCCCCACGCAGACGGGGTATGTTGGTGAACGCGTGCTGGTTGTCAATATCTTTACCAGCATAGTCGGCCCCAACTATTCTGTGTGGATCGACTACGACCATGTCGGGCTGCTGTCTGTGTACGCAGACGCTGAGGGCAAGCCCAAACCTAGCAATGCCATAGGCATGGCGCCATTCAGCATCGGCAGCGTCATTTCTCCGACATCCCCATTTGCCTATTTTGGATTCCTCTCCACGGTGGAGTCGCGACTCCGTATCAGAGGCATCCGCTTCACCGCAACGGTCGACAACTTCCCTTGCTACCCCGTCAAAAGAGGCTTCCTGTCAAGGAAGGTCACCATATTGTCATCGGTCCTTGGTTCTATAGCCGCCACCGCCGTGGTGGCCGCCACCCTGGCGTGCTACTTCAACTCAAGATACCGGAGGTGGCACAAGGACCTGGACCAGCTCGCCAGGTCCATGGAGCGCCTCCCTGGGGTACCCACCAAGATCGACTTCATCGATATCAGAAAAGCCACCAACAACTTCCATGACCGCATGAAGCTCGGTGGAGGCGGGTTTGGCACCGTGTATAGGTGCACACTCCCCGCCTCCGCTTCCAAGTTGGAGCGGCCGATGGACGTGGCCATCAAGAGGTTCACGCGTGACGTGCAGAACCGCCGATACGACGACTTCCTCACCGAGGTCAGCATCATCAACCGGTTGCGCCACAAGAACATCGTCCCCCTCATCGGTGAGCATCGTCAAAAAATTATTCAGTGTTGGGCTTTCTTTTTTTCGTTTACTGTGTTTCCTTTTGATTTGAATTTAAGATTTTGTGTTGGTGGATACGTGTTCTCAATCGCCTACGTATTTTCAGATCATTGCAACATTTCTTGGCAGTTAGGCCATATACACTCTTTACGACTCCCCTAGTTTGATCTTTCAAGCCCTGGATTATTCGACGCTTTTTAGGAGAAAGGGACACCGACAGAGACTTTTCTCTCATGGCCCCCATTTGAATTTTTAAACAAATCCTGCTAATGGCTCAGGTTATAGTGGTTATACCATGGTGCAAGCTGGAGTTAATTTATAGCCCCCTTAGTAAATATCCATGAATTAACTAGAAAAATGTTGTTAACCACACGGTAAAATAATAAGAAAGAAACGGTTCATCAAACTCTGTTAAACAACTATCGAACCATCAAAATAAAACAATTACAGAAGATTTATCTAATACAAAAGAGTATATATACCTAATATTTTGCCACCTTACATATGTTCAAACCATGTATATGCAGTCTCGTAAAAAAACCAGCGGTGATGAAGAATTTTATTAAACTATCCATGAAGGGACAGCCAAACATATATGGGATAATCACACCATATGACAGATACTTGGTTTCATCTAGTGATTCACAAGCTAGCTAATGTCTAAGAAAAATTCAGAAGAAACATGATGATTATGCTAAAGTTCTTTTTTTTTCTACATTCACCTCAGACCACACATTATTAAGTCCAAGCCTACATTATGAAAATGTAAATGAATTGTAGCAAACTTTTACTGCATTGTATATATGTTCTATTTTCAATTGGGACTTATGGTGAGACGTCGATTCAGAAAGCTAAAAAATGTAGCTGGCATAAAAGTGGGGTCCCTTCGTTTACAGATCCATTATAAGATTCTAGCCAGGCATTCGTAGCGCTACAAAAAATGCTAATTTTCATAACTGTGCACTTAAACATTTTTCAGGGTGGTCTTACAACAAAGGAGTGCCACTGCTTGTGTTCGAATTCATGAATAATGGCAGCTTAGACCAACATATTTTCCATAGAGGCGGCAGCGGCACCAAGCAACAAAACATTGATGATGCCATTCGGCGATGGGCAACCCGCTATGAGATCATCATGGGCATAGCCACTGCTCTGCACTATGTCCACCACGAGTATGAGCCCATGGTGCTCCACCGGGACATCAAGGCAAGCAACATCATGCTGGACTCGAGGTTCCAGGCTTGCCTCGGCGACTTTGGCCTGGCTTGCACCGTTGCCATTGACAGAAATTCCGTCACCGGCGTGGGTGGCACCTGGGGCTACATCGCCCCAGAGTACCCAGTTTGCCGCAAGGCGACGCGGCAGACAGACATCTACGCTCTTGGGGTGCTCATCCTCGAGGTTGTCACAGGGCTACGGGCGTTGGCTGATCATGAGGTGGTGGATGATGATGACATGCATATCACCGATAGAGTGTGGCGTCTTCACCGAGAGGGGAGGCTATTGGAATGCGTGGATGCCATGTTGATCAGTGGTTTTTCTCCCGACAATGAGGAGCAGCTAGACAATGTTGGCGATGCCGAACGCTTGCTGCTCCTGGGCTTGGCCTGCAGCAACCCAAACCCGTCAGACCGGCCAACCATGCGCGAAGTGGTGCAGGTCATCGCCAAGTTAGCTCCACCACCACAGGTGTCACCTCTGAAGCCAAGATTCGTGTGGCCACCGCAGGAAGAGGGTCATTCAGTGACCTGCAATGATGATAGCCTAGGTACATCAATGGTAAGTAATCTCGACAAGAGTATGGCAAGCCTTACCAGAGGGCGTGCTTAAATTTCAGCTCCAACACTTTATCGCCCTCATGACAAGCAGTGACTCCCATCTTTGAGAAATGCCAAGTAGAATATAGTAAGAGTGAAAATTCACTTGTTGTACTATAAAACTAGCAAGGTGACCCGCGCATTTGTGCGGCTAGATTTATTATTTTCAATGTACTGGAATAATTACTCTCTTGGCTCATAATCAACCGTTCATTAACCAAATTGGCCGCTACATTGGCAGCAAAATGTCTATGGAAAGCATATTAAATGTGGATTTTGGAAGAAATCTTTGTATTGCAAAGTTGCTCATGACGATTTTGGAGTGTGACAACGCAAGTCAGGTGCTATTGAGGTGAAAGACACCCATGCGAAAACATAGGTCAATCGTATTAATTTGCGGCATTCCCTAGTAATTCATCTTTCGATCAATTGGTTCTATGATTATATCATTAAGAATAAATCTAACCATCCATGACTTGTAGATAAATCTTAAGTTACTTTCATACACCCATGCCACCAATTGACAAATCTTTTTTATCTATGCAATTTAATGCCTCGCTTGATGTTCATAAATCTTAGTCTCTTTTTTCTCCTTTGCACACATATTTACATTCATGTTATAAATGGCTTCTTGTGGGTGTATTGCACTGGTATTTTTAATTTGTACAATGTCGTGATTCTATCTTATTTGAAGGCAACTCATCTAAGTTGAAAAATGTACGGCAATATTATTATTGGTATATATTATCTAAATTTCCAAAAACATTCTCTCTTTCACTCTGACTCGTCACTAATTATTTTTTGTATCATCTCTTACTTGTTTTGTGTTGGGTTACATTTTTTTGACACCTTTGTGAAACCAAATCTTGCGCTCACTCTTTTATTTCAGAGTCATATATTTTATGTGGATTATCTTTGAGTCACAATTGGATTTGTGAATGTCGTTTATTTTGCAAATCATGAAAGCAATTCGTATCATAGTTCATTTTCCCTTATCATGCTCGTGTGATTTTATTATTATTTTCTTGCCATTTGTATTCATTATGCTGAGTCTCATCAGTGAGCTCAAATTATGCTAATACTTATTATCATACTATTAGGACCAATCCAGTATTTTTTGAATCCCTCTCTCTCTCTCTCTCTCTCTCTCTCTCTCTCTCTCTCTCTCTATCTCTCTATCTCTCTCTCTCTCTCTCTTTGTGTTTTAAACATTCCCTATTCTCTCTCCCACCTTAGATTATTCTTTCTGATTGTACCCATATTGTATATTGCTATAACATATATTATATAGCCAATGTTAAACGAATGTATATCTAATAAATACTCGACATCTATTGCTTATTTTCAATATGTACTATCATTAGTACAACATTGTTTTACTCCTTTCATATGATATATGGCTCGTGCATGTTGTACATTTGGAATCAATATTTCTATTACTCTTTCGAACCAGATATCATGCGTGCATGCACTAGACATTTTTATTCTTCAAAGTCACCAGATTTGTCCTTTCCGAGCTTCCGACAATCATGAAATATGCCAGCCACTGCCAATTGAAGCATATCTCAGCTTGTCTCTTTTTGTCCTGATCAAATCCTAATTTTCATAGTATGAATTTTTATAATGTAGCTATTTATGAAATTTGGGAAATAAATATATAGGCATAATTTTCTATTATTTTTAATCGTGATTTCATTATTTTTAATGGTAATTTCAATACGTTCTTTTTAAAATGTAGCTATTTTATGTAATTTGTGAAGTAAATATAGAATTCATTTTATTTTATTTTTAATTGAGAAAATACATATACTTTTCTACATAATACGCTGCATGACCATGTCTTGGCATAGCCGTTATTTTATTTTATCTTTTGCGTGGTGGCATAGCCATACTGGAGTTGGTCTTCTACTGTAATATCTGAGCCGTTCCTTTTCTATCATTTTAATAATATAATATATGTCGATATGGTTTTGCTAAATTTAAGATGCCTGCGAATTTGTTATGTCCAAGTTGGTCCCATGATTCGTCATAGGGCGCTACTCTGCGCCGGTCGACCGGCCGAGTCGGTCCACCCGCGTCCGTTGGATGCGTCCAGCCGTATACATTGTATCTGGTCCATAGAGTCATGCAAAACTGAGCCCGCCGAATGCATGTAAAACTGAACCCGTTGAATGCATGCAAAAACTGAACCGTGTCTTTCGCCTGCATGGAACGGACTGTCAATGACATGCGTCATAGCTTTGCTCGTTGACTCACGACACCCATCTTCCATGACTGCCCTGTCCATTGTCGCAGTTCGTCGTGGCTGCCTTGCATCGCCGTGGAAACCTGCCGCCGTCGCTTCTCGAGCACTCCGTCATCCGGCAAATGCTTTGCCGGCGACATGCGCCGATGCTTTGCTCGTCGACTCGCGATGCCCCAGCTCCCGTGAATGCCTTGTCCACCGTCACAGCTCGCCGTCGCCGCCATGCATCATGTCGTAACTCGCCGTCGTTGCCTCATGCAAAAAACTCGTAACATGGCCTATGCTGGTCCAAGCAAATCGTCTTGCTGTACGCAGCTTGCCGTGTCGCCAGTCCCAACAGATCATCTCTCCGATCCTAGCAAATAATCACCAGAAATTCTCAGCGGCAAAAAATCACGCTGGTCACAGCAAAAATATCACCGGTCGTCCCAGCAAAAATGATCGTCCACCAACAAAATGGATTACCGTCATCCGGACGCAGCAAAAATTCTCACCGGTCACTGGTCACAATAAAAATTCTCTGACGGTTCTAACAAAAATGATCGGCCGTTCCAGCGGCGAAGCAAAAATTCTCGCCGGTCCAAGAGAAACAACTCGTCATTTGTAGTAAAATAAATTCGCCAGCGTCGGTCGTAGCAAAAAATCATGCTGGACCCAGCAAACGATTTGCCGGTTGTAGCAAAAAAAAGTTTGTTGTCACCGGTAGTATCAAAAGTGCACACAGGTCCCAGCATAAACAACTCGCTGGTTGTAGCAAAAATGCACCGCCCTCACAGGTTGCAGCAAAAATTCACACCGGTCCCAGTAAAATGACTCGCCTGTTGTAGCAAAAATGTCCCGGTCTCATAGATCGTAGCAAAAATTCACACTAGTCCCAGCAAAATGACTCACCAATTGTAGCTCGATGTCGTGCCAGATGCAACACGAAACACCGGTAGTAGCAAAAAGGACGTCGCCACCGCCGCCATTGTTGGTGTCCTTGTGAACAGTTGTAGCAAATGTCAACACCGGTAGTAGCAAAACACAAGACCGCTTGCATCAAAAATGGCCGCCGCCGTCCTTGTGAACGGTTGTAGCAATCATCAACATGGTAATAGCAAAAAACGACAGCGGTTGAAGCAAAAAGCCGCTGCCGCCGTCATGGGTCTCAGTTCATCATCAATGGTTGTTGCAATCGTCAATGCCGGTCGTAGCAAAAACACCGACGGTTGCAGCAAAAAACTCAGTCGGTTCCAGCAAAAAGTTATGTTTGTTGGTTGCATCATTTTTTTGGCTGCATGGTTCATCTATGCAACAACACGGCCATGGTTCTTCCAGCAAATACCAATCAGCCGGTTCCAGCAAATTCTCGTCGTCGGTAAGGGAGGTGGTCGGACGTTCACTGCTGGCGATGCAGTGCGAGGTAGCAGATGAACAAGAGGAGAGAGAGGAGAGATGAAGGAGGAAGGAAAATCTACAATGAATCGATGGTTATCAAGGAAAGAAAGCAAGCAATGCGGTACGTGGGTGGGTCCTAGACGTGGCCTGATTGATTCTCAGGGGAAAAAAGACGTGGCTTGATTCATCTGATTGATTCTCAGCAAAAGAAAAGTGACCTGACAAGCGTGTGCATAGTGAGGGGTTAGTTGGGCGTCGCACGATTTGGATCGATCCCGTGGATAGCATGAGTCCGGCGCAGCGTTCGGCCGGCACACCGGCTGTAAACACTTTCCTTCGTCATATGTTTTCACATTGAGAGCGGACTTTCACTTGCACATTGAGATCTGCATATGGATATAGAAATATATATCAGATCCCTGACTAGTCCCAAAGTATAAGCAATATTTTTATTCGTAGAACGAGCCCTGCTTTGCTGCTTAATTTTGAAGCGGTATTCTTGACCCCCGCCAGTTATTTTTTCTCCGGCCCGCCGTAGCCCATATTCAAGCCCCGTATAATCCGTATAACCTATAGCGTATAGGTATAGTATCCTCCCATGAAAAAACGATTGCACGACCCCACGTCTACGTACGACCTGCCGAAGCCAGCTCCATCATTCATGCAGTACCCTAGTTGAGATTCTTTACGAATATCGGCGACGGCGATCTCGTCCGACAGCGCGTGCGGCATCGTCATGAACCTCCAGCGCTCCTAGGTACCGCAACCCACTTCCCCCCATTTGTCTCGCTGACGGAAGAATTGAACGAAATGCCGCCGTTTTCGTGGTAGTGGTTAACCTAGTTGGGCGGGTAAGCTAGCTACCCTACCGCGCTGGCGATCGCGGATCTTGTTCCGGGAGTGCTGCTCCTGGTGACGCAAAGTGATCATGCCAATGTGGGTTTCTTATGTCTAGGGTTAACTTAGCGTCGGTTGCCATCGGCTATGTGCACGACGACTATCATTATTTGATGTGGCGGCTAACCTAGGTATCCGACGGCGCAGGTTATCACGGATCTAGTTTCGGTAGTGCTGCTCCTCGCAATCCAAAGTGATCATGACGGGTGCCATGAGCATCTTTTACTAGCATTCGTGTACCTTATCGCCAACTACCACTCTGGAGATGGGGGAGGATCAATCGGGGGTCATAGGTCATTGGCGTCGGTTGCGTGCATGATCTGAACACCCTCGGTTGGGGTAGTTTACTTAATGTTCGTAATCTTGTGCTATGTGTTGTATATTTCATTATTGATATTGTTTGCACATGTGATGATACTTATTATTTGTTGTAGGAAATGGCGGACAATGAGTTAACTGATATCGTGGTAGATATGGAGTTTGGAGAACTTCTG